ATGCTATGCTGGTGAGAAATTCTGGGAGTTGAAGTCCACAAGTCTTAAAGTTGCCAAGTTTGGGGACCTCTGAACTAAGGAGTCCATGGTGCTTTCTGAGGTTGGTTCTTTTTTTTTTTTTTTGTGCAGATGTTTGATTACCTAATTAGATAACATCTTTAGAGCCAGTGAATATGGAGTTTAGTCCATTCTTACATACAGTAATTTGCTCTGCCAGTGTTGGTGGGGTTGTGGCTTTCCTCTTGGTAGTTCCTTGATTAGGGTATTGTTTTCTGTTTGATTATCTTTCTGGTGTTAATCAGAAAGTGTTGTGTTAATCTAGGTGTTGCTGCTGGACACGATGTGGTCTTTTTACTTCCTTTGTCTCTATTTTTTTTTTTTAGCTTTTTGATGTATCTTCTTGTCATCTCTTTTTAATGGTGTGTAAATGTGGTTTATTTCTATGTGTTTACTGTTGGCTGATTTGCCTGTATACCAAACTTCCAAGAATTCCCTAGCATTTTTGGCTTAGGCTTGTCAAGGAAGCTACCACTTTCCCAACTGAAACTATGGTTGAATCTGTCCATGTGTTTTAAGGTTAAAGGGTTTTCATTGTATCTTCTGACTGCTAGTTGGCATGCATGGATGCACTCTGCTAGTCTTCTGCCTATCTGTCCTACATAGTGGTTGCTATAGACCTTACATTGTATCTTGTAGATGAGTCCTCTTTTTTCTTCTTGGGCCTTGCTTTACTTAAGATATTTTGGAGGGCTATGCTGGTTGGTATGGAATGGTGATGCCATGTGTTTGTAATAGGCTATTGGTTGTTTCTGATATGTATTTCGGGCATGGCACTATTATCTTTTTCACAACCTATGTTGGTTGTGTTATAGTATGTTGAATGATCGGGTCCCTTCTGATAAAGTTGTTTGAATATTTGTTTTATTGGAAGATATTACATAGGCAGACTTTCCTTTTTCTACTGTTCCATGGTTGCTGCAGTGAGTTTGTGCTTGTCTAATGTTGAATAATGTTCTCAAACAACTAACTTTATATATAGGGCAAGCCCTTTTCTCTAGCATTGATGATGTTACCTAGTTGGGTCATGAAACGTCAACAGCTAGGACTGCACTGAACTTGATTAGTATTAAAGAGGGAGAACATTCCTGGGCTGGTCAAACTGGAAATAAAATGACATGAAATCAGATAAAATTCAAGAAGGCAATACAATCCATTTCTGTATTGTGCTGCAAAAACTAGATAGTTGCATTTGTGAAGTCATCTGGAGTTCAGCTGAAATCAGTGGAGATGTCATGTTTTCAAATGTGGATTAAACATTTGGTGAACAGATAAACAAGAAGCCGATTCAACATAACTTCTCCTTCAAAAGCAGAAGAAAATAACACCAAGCAGGGAAGGATTATAGTGTCATCAGAGCTGAATAGAGCTAATCATGTTGCTGTCTAACCATTCCTATTATGTTTTCTCCCCATTTCTTCTTCTTGAAGCACTTTCCTTGTCTTATTAACACTAAGTGCAATGATTCCCCTTTCCCATTTTGTAATGCGAAAACATTTTCTACTGAAATAAAGCCACAAATCCTGGTAAGGACAAATCCCTCCTTGCAATAATAGGAAGATTTGCATTGCCATCTAGGGTTTCTCTCCTCACTACCCTATTTTTTAGTCTTCCATTGAATTAATATCGATTCTGCTTAGCTTTTTGAGACCACCCAACGCCCTCTAGGCTGACATGAACTAAACAGGCTTTAAATAAATAAACAAAGGTATAACCTGTTGTTTCAAGTTAAAGGGACAGTACTGGGATAGTACTTTCAAGAGGTGACTGATATCCCACAACAACATCTGGGAAGCAGAAGTACATAAAACAAGGTGAGATAGAACCAGTGGGAACAAATCCTGATTTTCCTCTGAAACTCCTTCCAAATTTTGATTGAGCCTCTGCAACATGCATGTTGGGATCCTGGTCTTTCTGGCAACTTCAGTCTATGCAATAGCAATAGATAAGGAGGAGGAGGAAGAGGTGGAAGAGGAAGAGGTGGAAGATGAGGAGGAAGAGGAAGAGGAGGATGTCGTCTTTGGAGATTCTCAGTCGTCCAGGTCATGGTTGTCCCAAAGGTGCTTTTTCAAGAGGCAACTGGACTTTCTTTGAAGACGTTTCACTTCTCGTCCAAGAAGCTGCTTCTGCTTCAGATAAGAAGCGAAACGTCTTCAGAGAAAAGCCAGAAAGTCCAGTTGCCTCTTTTTGGGACGACAACGACGTTGATGATAATAACGACATTAATACTAATAACGAAGGATCCAGTTTCTATCTCGGGTAGAGCGGTAGCTCGCCTGCCGAAATCACGGCCGCCGCATTCTTCCCATAGTAGTCCTTTAAAATTAATAGCACATGCAGAGGAAAAACTAAACCCCTTTGACGTCACTCTTCCAACGAGGAAACATAAACAGAGGAGGCTTCGCTGCCGCTGATTGGCCGGCCGCGCTGTGCCTGTGGCAGTTGACAGCACCTCCCAGCCAGGCACGGCTCGGCCTTCGCCGCTCAGCCAGCCCGAGACTGCGCCAAGCCCCGCGGAGCTCTTCTCCCGCTCTCGCCCGGCCGGGAAGTGTGGCTCTCTGTTGCTCCGGTTGCGGTCTGTTCCTCGTGCGTCCCGCTCGGGCACTTTCTCCCCCCGCCCCTCCTCCCTCCTTGCCCTTCTCCGGGCCAATGTGCACCTTCCGCCGTCCCTTGGCGCGTCTCCCCGAATGCTCTGCCTGAGACTGGATGCGAGCTTCGGGATCGTGCAGGTCGAGGCTTCATGAACAAGCTGCGCCGCTTCCAGTTTTCGCGGCATTCAGAGGTCACCGAACTGCCACTATGGTTAAATGTCTTGTTTAATGGTTGAGGTACGTACCTCGCGAGCCGAGGAGGCGGCACGGTCGGGCTCGCCTTCTGCGGGGGGGGGGGGGGGGGGGGGGGGGGGGGACGGGGGACGACTGCAGTTGCGCAAAGTTAATTGAACGAACTTACAATGGTATTTGGAAGAAAACACTTGGCGGGCTTTGCTGTGAAACAGCCTTCTTTCTTTCTTTCTTTCTTTCTTTCTTTCTTTCTTTCTTTCTTTCTTTCTTTCTTTCTTTCTTTCTTTCTTTCTTTC